GTCTTGCTGTAACACTGGCTGTACTCCCAGTCTGCAACCTCTTTACAGCTAAGAAAACATGGTGCTATTTGAGCCCACAGCATCCTGTAAGTCTGAATTACAGGCAGAACCTGAAACCCATGCTGGTGGCCCTGCAGTGTGACAATAAAGTACCGTAGTACTCTGCCCATCCATAGTATTAGCAGAAATAATAATGATCTACTCATTCATTGGAGTCTTGGTGAGGCACTGTAGGATAAACAATGAACCACAAGTCAGTCTGAACCGCAGGGTTGGTGGTTCAAGCTCACCAGCCGCTCCTTGGAAATCCTATACAGGGTCACTATAAGATTCAGTCAAAACCATCTAGGAAACACTCAGCAACAACCCTCATTCATTAGGGAACTAAAGAATGCAAATGTAATCCTCCAAAAGCTAGTCACAGGAATTTAGCTTTAATGTGCTATAGTTACCCTCGTACTGTTACTTATTGCCAAAGCTCTAAGCCACTTGCCACAGTTATAAATAAATAGGTTATAAGAAGTAAATGACTGTAGGAAGAACAAACAAGATGGCGGATTGGGTGGAAGTGTGCAGTAAGGAGTTCTGTCAGCAACAACACAGAATAAAGGACCAAGCAGGTTCAAGAGATGGTCCCAGCACTCTACATGGCAGCATCACCCTGAACTCAATTGACAAACAGAAGAGTCAAGAACAGAATAAAATTATAAGAACAGAGTATCTGGGAGGTCAGTCTATGATCAAAACAATTACAATGTGAAAAATGGGAAATACAGTGGAACAGAGATCCAGGTGGTGGGAAGGTCGGGTAGATTACTGGATAAAATAGACTGTCTTAAATGGAGGGTAGAACTAATGGAATATAAGGTAACTGCAATGGGGTTGGGGTGGGGGGTTTAGTTTGGGTGTTGGGGAGGGCAATACAAGAAGGGGAGAGGAGGCAGAATAACAAGATCGATAGGGGAATGAGACAGATTTGCATGGTCTAGTGGGACAGATGTAAACAGTGATGCATACTCAACCTTGGAACAACAGGGCTCTGGGATACAGGGATCTAGGTATAGCTTGAAGAGGGTAAATAATACTAAAATCCTTGACTGCCTTATGAATATTAGTTTGCCTTACCTACTATTGTAAGACACTTGAGTGGGATAGAAAGGAATGTTGGGAAACATGATTAGAGAAAACTTGTAAGCCTGTCTTCAGCCTATTACTGATTGGAATACCTAAAAGGTTTAGGTTCTACGACTTGCCCAGTGAAATAGGCCTCTTTCAAAGCCTTTACAGAGTATAGGACCTTAGGTGGAATCCTGAGTCCCACCCAGAAACTTATGAGGTGGGGCATTCCCACTAGAAAGGACAAGCAGACTGGAATAGCTAGTGACAGAAGATACATCTTCATGATGAACCTGACCTATACGCAGAGCGATAGTTACTCTAAATACCAACAGAGGGAAAGAGTCTTCACCCTGTATGTACACAGGATAGATAGGGATGGGCAACTTAAGACATTAGCTACCTAAAATGAGGGGGCAATAAAGGCACGAAGTGACTGGCTTACAAGGTTTCAAAAGGGAGTTTAGTTTAATAAGAGTATGGAGGGAAAGAAAGAGTCCCCATTGAATAGCTATCATCTTATCTAGATGGGTCTGGTGAAAAGATGGGGATAAGATTCGTAAAATTCAATAGTGAATAATTGTTATCATGACTAATTGTGACTGTCACAATTGTAAAGGTAGTTTTGTAACAAAAACAGGGGAGTGGTTAATCTTACAGTCCAGAAACAGAGGACCCTAGGACCATTAAGAGAGGTACACACAGGCAGAATGCAGGACCTTATCCAGAGAAGCAGCAGCACCAGAGATGGAGGCAGAGATGGGGGCATGGAGAGGGGGAGTGGCTGAGGACTCTAGATTCATGGACTAAGAAGAGAGGGACTAAGAGCTGGTGGCCAGGAGGTAGACTTGCAGAATGTGCCCTTTGGAGATGTAAATTATTATATATGCCTGAGTGGGTTTTTTTGTTCATTTGTTTTTTAAAAAGCTAAAATGAATAGAGAGAAATTCTGTTAACTGATGGTACATGGAGGGGATTATAATCATTGTAATGAAACAAGGTGTATGATTTGTTGAATGTAAAACTGATGATGTGCCATGTAAACTTTCACTCAATCCACAATAAAAACCTTAAATTAAAAAAGAAAAAAGAAGTAAGTGACTGTAAGGAAGGATGTCAAATAGCACCTGAAAACATTTATATCAGAATAAAGTGTTTTAAAAGATAGATTTAACAAAATTATACTTTGAGTTTTATTCATAAATACTGCAACCACATAAGCAACACGTCCCCACATACATACACTGCACCTGTCTCATGACATTTCCAGAAGTAAATTTTGGCCTCATTCAACTGTTAAACATATTTTTATAACAAAAGTCTAAGCTATGGTCAAAGAGTCATGAATTGCATTTGTTACTATTCCCATCAATGGAAAATAAAAAACTGAAACTATTTATTTGTTTCTATTAATCTGATAATTTTATCACTCTCATTTTTGAGTTATCCATTGAAACCTTGAACCTAACCAGTACTGAAGTTTGACCATAAATCATGTGCTATCAATTAATGGTGGTGTAGGATAAGCACTAGACTGGTAACCACAAGGTCAGCAGTACAAACCCACCAGCCACTCCTTGGAAACCCTGTACCAGGTTGCCATGAGTCGGAACTGACTAGATGGCACTTGACAACATCAACTGGTAGCATAAACAAAGCCAAACCTGCTCTAGGATAAATGACATCAAGTAGTTATCAATGGGAGTATCAGTTCAACCTGTACAGACAAAATTATCACACTCATCTTCTAACTCTGGCTTTTCATTGGAGGAATAAAGCATAACTTACACACAACCACTCGTGGCTCAACAGTTGAGTTGGAATACCTTAGCAGATCATCTTAAGTGAAACCATAAAGCTCTGCTAGATCTTCTTATTTCAGACTCTCCTGGTGTAGCACTAAGATCACCGGTGGATTGCAAACTATAAGGTCGGCAGTTCAAACCCACCAGCCACTTCTCAAAAACCCTAGACGCAGTTGCTATGGGTCAGAATCAACTCAACGACACTTAACAATTTTATCTTCATTTTGTGCCAATGTCTTTGATCAATGTGCACGAGTCACCTTAGTCATATGCTTGTGAGCATATAAAAAGACCCTTACTTCTTGTACACCTCACACTGGAATTTTTCAGTCTCTATGAGACCCTATCAGTTATCAATTAGATTGTGCACATTCTTTCAATTTATACATCTCAATCTTAGAACCCTTTTAGGATCATGTTAGAATTAAACGCAAGTCCTACACCACCAACTTCAAACTGGAAGTTGTTGTGAGGGTATTCATAAGCAATAATAGAACAGCAAGAGAGTTGTCCATTCATGAATGGACAAAGGAGAAAAAGGAACTGGTGAAAATGCATACGCCGTGGGCCAAGGGAAAAGGTCTGAGTTGGAGAATGGCTTGGGAGTGAACAATTTCTCAAGGGAACAAAATCAAGCTGTCTCTACTGTTGCAATTCGATCACACCAAACTTCTTGCACATGAAAGAGGATTTCAAGACAAGTTTCACTTTACTTTATCAATTCATGAAAGAAATGGCCTTTGTGTAATGATGAGAACCACTGTAGACCACTGTAGCAACTTCCAGATGACTGCAAGCAAAATGATGACAATGAAGGAGTAAACAAAGATTCACCTGTTTTAGAGTAAAACCACAATTTCTTCTGGTGACATTTATTTGTTGATTTCAAAGACAATGATTATGAAAAATTATGTTTCAGTTGAAGACTTATGAAAGCAATTAATATATAAATAACAGCTTGTTCTTATAGTTTGTGGCCCAGGATATTCTCTTACTTACTAGTTTCTACCTTGGCGTGCATTCATCCTCTCTGGTTTCAACCTGGCATCCCATTTTCATCACAAGTCTGTTCACCATTGGTTGTATTTGTTTAGGAAAATAGCTACCTTAAATGTTACCTTGATAACAGTTTTGTCTCAGTTACATTAAACCAATTGGACAGGGGGAAAAATTAAATTGAATATGTAACATGTAAGAAATACTAGTAGAGCACATGTATGTAAATAACGTGAGGGTTGCAGAGTGTGCAAAACCATATACTGTGTGCAATGTTTGCATAAAAGATGGCATATATACATTCAGATCAATTTAATCAAGCATCCTAGCTTTTTTACTTTATTTCATTCTACAGAGCATAAATATTAAATGTTTATATAATATACTTTATTTTAAATGCATTAAATACAAAACATACAATTTGAACACAAAACAATGAATGCATTTTGGTCTCATGAACACACTTACAACACACAATAATGAAATGTTAACGGTTTCAAATAAATAGGCAATCCTACAGAAAGGATTGCCCAACAAATGACATTTTAAACAGAGGAAGACAAAAGCACAGGCAATGCCAACTAGTGTTATTCGTTTAGTAGTACTGTATGAGGTTAAGAACAAATTTTTAAAAATTCTAGTTGTGGTATTTAAATTAAATTACTTTATAATTTGGATTGAAAACAGCACTAAATTGTAAAGTACTTAAAACTGTTAGAAAAGTTTGACTTTCCAAGTGCAAATCTGAAGCAAAAATATGCTGTGCATACATCATGAGTAACAGCAAGTAGGTGGCCTGCAACATTACACATTTTTTATAAATCCAGGATTCTGTCAGTTGGTATACAAGTGTCATAAATTAATCTTTCTGGCTCAGTGATAAGTGTACAAAATCATAATTTGATATGCTAATCATGATCTAAAACTAAGAATCCTATATAAAGTCCAACAACAAATGTGTTCAACAAAGCAACTAACCTGTGTATTTGTTTCTTAAATTAAAAAAAAAAAAGTACAATCTGATTTTGAACCTTGTATGTGACAATCTATTTTAAAGTCTTGTCGCGGCATTCATCTTCCTTTTCAGCTGAAAGGGTGAAGCACAATGGCCACAACTTTGTTACAGACCAAAATCCAACAAGTAATCCCAATACCTCCTGAAAACAAAGAAATCCAACATAAGACAGTATGCTCACAATTCTGCCCACATTTCCTGTCTCTCTTACCTTTTATCTTACAGAAATTTAAGAAAATTTCAATTCCTCTGAGCTTTGTTAGCTAAGACCAAGTGCGTATTCTGTGGGTTCAAATGTAGTTGGTTTTCTAATGATCCCCAAGGCTGGGTTATTACAAAGCAGGAGTCACACTGGACAACTGACTTGTACTTCTCTTCCCCACCAGAGAGATGTACATTACAACTGATAATAGTAATAGACGTAAGAGCTGGGAGCAGGGACTCCTGGTTTTTGCTCTCAAAGAACATTATAAAGAGCAATGGCAGCACTGGGGTTGGGGTCACCCAGTGGTAACTCATGGACTCTACCTCTACTACAGCATATAGAACCCTTGTTGTTTAGTGCCATCAAGTCGATACTGACAGGTTCACAAATACTACTTACTGCAATACTGTAGCTAAAGCACCAGAAATATGATAAAATCAGCAATTATAAAACACTTGTTTTTGTTGTTAGGTGCCATCAAGTAGGTACCGACTCATAGCGACCTTATAGAAGCAACGAAAATACCAGTGCATGTTTGTAGTGCATGCAGACAAAACCATATATGGTTCAAGCCTCGCTGTAACTGAGTAATAATGGCAGTTCTGACCAGAGTGCATTACCAAAAACCAAACCCAATACCACTGACTCGGGGCCACCCTTACAGGATTTCTGATGCTGAAAATTTTACAGTAGGAGAGAGCCTCATCTTCCTCCTATGGAGCAGCTGGTGGGTTTGAACTACTAACCCTGCAGTTACCAGTCCAGTGCTTATCCTACAGCTCCACACCAGCACTCAACACATTAGAAGGTTCAAAGAAGTCCACTAGGAAAAGTTTTAACCTTGTAGATATATTGATGCAAGTAAACTGAGCTGATGAAAAAATGTCTTTATTGTCCTAATTAACTACAGGGATACTTTTATGAGAGGACCTAACAGTTCAAAAAAAAAAAACTCTGGGGACATATGCCAAAACGTTAACAGGGGTAACGGGGTTGTTGTTTTTTAAATTGCCCCAGTACTTCTAATCACTGTAACATGGCATATACTATTTTTAACATTAAAAAAAAAAAAAAATGTTTTTTAAAAATAAAGTGATCAATTGTGACAGAGAGGTGAACAATAATAAAGATGAAAAGAGGCTACAGGCTTTGGGAGGTAGAAGCACTATGTCAATGAATGGGGTATCTGATTCCATGTGCTGGGCATGGATTCTGGAATCAGAGCTGGGTTTGAATTCTAGCTCTGCCACCTAACATTTCAGTGAGGCTGGACAAGTAACTTCTCCAAACCTTAGTTTTTCCCTCTGAGACCTATATAAACCTGAGGCACAAGGTAGCTGCTCACTGAACAAAATGATGGTTATCAGGCCCACCTAACATTCAACCACCCACCACTTCAATCTATCCAGAACTTCCCAGTACATTTTCCAGAGAAATCTTACCTGCTACTCTAGTAGGAAATGCTACGAGGCGATCTAGTGGGGTTATCCACTTACTCGGCACCACAGCCACAGGCACAGAGTAATACTTCCAAATTAGCGAGATCATCAATGCAGCCTGGAAAGACATTTCTAGTGAGCACAAATTACTTATTAACCAGACAACTACCTCAGAAAGATGGGGAAACACTAAAACAAATGACAGAAACTCCAAGCCCTATCATTCCAACCTGCATTCCAACAAAGGGGCTTCAAAAAGTTTGTGGAAAAAAGTTATTAAAAGACAATGCATTTTTATGCACACCAATGTTCATAGCAGCACTATTTACAATAGCAAAAAGATGGAGGCAGCCAAAGTGCCCATCAACTGAAGAATGGATAAACAAACTGTGCTA